AGGACAGCCATGGCAAAAAGTGAGAAACCCCATCTGAAAAGTCACTAAAGCTTAATGGGCTGGGTGTGACTGAAGAGGAGAATGCTTGCCTAGCAGGAGGAGGCACTGAGTTCAAATCCCAGAATGGCCAACCCCCACCCCTAAGTTTTTAGACTTAGATCTCAACCTCTGCCATGAGTACATTAGTTTCTTTTCCCTTAGTTTCCCCACCTGTAATAACATAAACATATAGCTAATAAATGTACAAGTTATGAAAATTAAGAGTTAATATATGAAAAGAATTCAGCAGAGTATGGCATCTAAAAAGTATTATTTAAGTGTTGGCTATTACTATCTATTGTGGCTGATATATTTTTGAGGTAAAATTCATATAAAATTAACTTAAATGTACAGTTCAAAAAAACCAAAAAAATTACAGTTCAAATATAATGAAACTGTATAGATATCTTAAGCAAAAATGTCTTTTTTTCCAAAAACAGAGGTAAAACGTGTCCTGTCTCAGGAGTAGACACCAGTGGCAGATGGGGAATATAAGGAAAAGGTGTAGAAGGATGAATATGGTAGAAATACTGTATACTCATGTATACATAGTTTCAAGACCAATTGAAACTATTCTAAGAATGGGAGGAAGGGAGAGAAAGGAGAATGATGGAGGGGGTGAATTTAACTAAGATATATTGTAAGCACTTCAGTAAATGTCACAATGAACCCCAGTCCAACAAATGTAGAGTTTAGTGTCTTTTTGTGTATTAACAGTGCTACGTGACCACTACCTCTATTTAGTTCCAAGACATTTTCATCACCCACAAAGGAGACTCTGTGCCCACTGAGATGTCATTCCCTAGTCTCCCTTCTTCCCTGTCCCTGGCACATACCAGGGTGCTGTCTCTGTAGATTTAACTATTCTGGATATAAGTAGAATCATACAAGTAGTACCTTTTATGTTTGGCTTTGTTCCCTTCCCATAATGATTTCAAGATCCAAGCATATTGAAGCATGTATCAGTGTGACATTCCTTTTTATGGCTGAATAACATATCATTATATGGAAATACCAGAATTTATTTATTCATTACTTCTTCCCTGTCACCCTCCCTCTTTCCTTCCTTGTTTCCACCTTTTGGTAATTTCAATAGCAAACATTCACTTGCAAGTGTGTTTGAATCCCTGTTTTCAATTCTTTTGGGTGTACACTGAGTCATATAGTAATTTTTTTTCAGTACTGGAGTTTGATCTCAGGATCTACAGCTTGAGCCACTCCACCAGCCCTTTTTTGTGATGGGTTTTTTCAAGATAGGGTGTTTGCCTGGGTTGGCTTACAACCTCGATCTTCCTGATCCCTGCCTACTGAGTAGCTAGGATTACAAGCACAAGCCACCTGTGCCTGGCTTCGTTTTAACTTTTTGAGGAGCTTCCAAACTGTGTTTCATAGAAGTTGTGCCATCTTATGCTCCTACCAGCAATGTTGAAAGGTTCTAGTTTCTACAAATCCTAACTTATTTTTAATTAAAAATATTACAGCCATCTTAATGGCTGTAATGTATCGTTTTTGATTTGCATTTCTCCAACTAAGGATATTGAGCATCTTTTCCTCTGCTTGCTGGCCATTTGTATATCTTTGGAGAAATGGCTGCTCATTATCTTTTTGGTTATTTTTTATTAGGGTTACTTTTCTTCTTGACTTTTATAAACTATATTCTGGATGCTAGGCCCTTAACAGATATGTAATTTGCAAATATTTTTCTCATTCTGTAATGTCTTGTGCCCTTTGACACACAAGTTTGTAATTTTAATGAAAGTCATTTTAGTTGCTTGTGCTTTGGTATCAGATTTGAGTATTGCCAAATTCAACTTACTCTTTTGCGTATACTATATAGTTGCCCCAACATCATTTAGGAGACTTGCTCCAGAGTGGCCTTGTCACCCTTGTTAAATACCAATTTACCATAAATGTAGGGATTTCTCAATTCTATTTCCTGAATTATGTTTATCCTTATTCTAGTACCACTGTTTTGATCACTGTAGCCTTGTAGGAAATTCAGGAATAAGTATGAGTCTTTTACCTTTGTTCTTTTTTTTAAGATTGCTTGACTCTTTACAGTTACATATGAATTTTTAATTCTTTTCTATATCTGGGAAACACTCATTTAGATTTTGATACGGATTACAATGACTCTGTAGATTGCTTTGAGAAACACATTATCTCAATATTAAATCTAATTAATACAGCATGTTTCCATTTATTTAGGACTTCTCTCTTTCAGAAATGCTTTATAGTTTAAGGTACAAATTTTCCACTCCCATAAATTTATTCCCATTATTTTTTATGCTGTTGTAAATGGAATTTTTAAATTTTAGATTTTTCTATTATTTTGTATTTCATAAACTTGAATTAGCTTTTTGTGAATCCTTTAGGATTTTCTATATACACGATTAAGTCATCAGGGAATATAGTTTAACTTTTTCCTCTTCAAATTGAATGAGCTAATGTTTGAAAATTTTGAAGATTGGCTAGCTCCCATAGTTCCATGTTCCTTTACACTTTTTCTGTTTTTAAACTGTGTGCTAGGGCTGAGGGAGTAGTTCAAATGGTAGAGTGCCTAACAAGCATGAAGCCAAGTTCAAATCCCAGTACCGCAAAAAATAAAAATTATTAAAGTTTAAACCTTTGGCTATTGAGTTCCTGAATATTTTGCTTTGGCTGCTCTGATTTTAATTCATTTTAAGAATGATATCCTTTGAGTTTTCTGGAATCAGAAATCTTCACACACTATTATTTCAAATTTTTATAATATTCTCCTGTCACAGAACACCAAGGTTCAAAGTAACCAGATTCCTGCTTCTTAGGGTGTGTTTCTCCTACTTAATACCACTCTCTGAGTGCATCTGGGCTTTTTGTTAGGACCATGGAAATTCTCATGTTCGCTTTACACTTGAGTTTTCAAGATGAAAGCTGGCTTCTGCTTATGTTGTCTCCTCTTTGGTTTCCTTGTTTCAGTTTTTCTCTAGCCTGTACTCCGTATTTTTTTAATACAGGGTCTCCAACGTTTTTGTTTTTTTTTTTTTGGTGGTACTGGAGTTTGAGCTCAGGATCTCACACTTGCTAGGCAGGCACTCTACCATTTGAGCCACACCCACAGCTCTTGTGGTTTTTTTCAGAGAATTTCTCCCACTTTTTCCCTGCGGTAGCCTTGCTCTGCAGTCCTGTCTATGCCTCCTGTGTAGCTGGGACCACAGGCTCATGCCACTACAGCTGGCTTGTTGGTTAAGACTGCGGGGTGGCGGGGGAGGGCTGGAGGGGAAGGTCTTTCTAAATTTTTTTCCTGGGCTGGCCTCAAAACGCGATCCTCCTGATCTCCGACTCCCAAGTAGCTGTGATTTATAGATGTGAGCCACCATATCTAACCCAGGCCTCCACTTCTTAATCCTCCTGCCTCAGCCTCTTGACTTCCAGGATTTCAGGTGTGTACCACACCTAGATCCTTCCTGATAGATCATTAAGTGTTCAACATCAGAGTTTAGCCATCTGGGAAACACAAAACTACTCTGAGATTCCACCTCATGGAACAGCTATCTTCAAGAAAACAGGTAAGTACTGGTGAGGATGTGGAGCAAAAGGAACTTATTTACTGCTGGTACAAAAGCAAACTAGCGTAACCACTATGAAAATCGGTTACGTTCCTTAAAAAAACTACATGGTCCACCCCTACCAGTTTTGGGTATATCCCCTGAAAATAATTGTCGTTAGCATACTACATACATACCTCTCTCTATACCCATATTTGTTGCAGCACAATTTCCATAATATCCCAATTATGGAATCAGACTAGGTGCCCAACCAATGGATAAAGAAAATGTGGTGTATGTAACACAATGAGGTTACTCTCATTAAAAAATGAAATAATGTTTGCTGAAAAACTGATGGAGTTAGAGATGTTAAGCCAGTCCCACAAAGCCAAGTATTTCTCTCATTTGTGAAAACTGAGGGGCAGGCAGGGGAACAAAGTCATGAAAGCAAAACAGACTACAGGGGAGATGGGAGAGAAAACAGAGGGATGTAAGAGTATTGAAAGCATCTTATATGCACCTATGGAAATAGCACAACAAAACCCCAGAATTTGTACAATATATCCAAGTCTTCCCATTAAGTTGCACAAAACTGTTCAGGATAGTCATCCATACTGACAGAAAATCAACTATTCACTATGATCATTTTACTCAGAGAAGTCAAGGGAGTAAAGGAGACTAATTTTGTCTTATACTTAGAACTTGAAAATTTACTTTGGTAAGGTAACCAATTAACTCATAGTTGTAAAACATCTTACCACTTACAAACTGCCAAGTCATTTAGTCACACACAACAAAAAAGAAAAAAATCCTGTTCTTAAAAGAGCTTTAGTTCTAAGGTGGAGCTGAAAAGCAACCAATCAGTATTGTTGGTGTAATATACTATAAATTTATTACATGCATGCAAGGTAAATGATAGTGAACTCTGTAGTAGTGATGTGTTAATGTGTTATGTAGAAGGATCCAAAAAAAAAAGTCATATACATTAAGAAACCTCTTGATTTGGCGATATTTGGGCAGAGATCTACAGGAAGCCATATGGTATGTGATGTAAGATCATTCTAGGCAAAAGGAAGAACAAAGGCAGACATCTTCACATGGAGGAAGCCTACCATAACTCTCAGCAGCCTAGTGACTTCTGGGAGAGCTGAGATAGTGGTGGGGCAAACGAGTGATTAGGATGTAGAGGTACAAGAGGTGGGGTAAAGTTTGTAGTAATATAGATGCCTTTTAGTATTTGGCTTTCAATCTGAATTAGAGGGAAACTAAGGTTTGGAGGAAAACCACTCAGGAGGCCATTTCAATCTAAATAGAGATAAGGCTTTAGACCATGTTGGCAACAGTCTGCTCCATCTGCTGATTCTGAACACATTTTTAAAGGTAAAACCAAGAGAATTGGTTTAGGAGAGAAGATGCCTAGGTGCTGGACCAGTGCAACTATTTACAGGTAAGGGTGTTTTTTTTTTTTTTGGAGAAACCCAGTCAGTTGCAGACATTTTAGAAACGCCCTCAAAAGCTGGGGTGTGGATCAAGTGGAAATGCCTAGCAAGCATGAGGCTTTGAATTCAAACCCTCCCACTAGAAAAGATCTTCAGATAGCCAGGTGCATAGTGAATAGGAAGCTATGTAGCTCAGAAGTGATGGAAGGTCAGTAAATTATGACTAGCCACTCCTAGGCCATGAAAATACTCCGCCCTTATGTGACACTACTCAAATGTGATATGGCAAGCAAGGAATCAAGTACGTAGAGGCTGCCAATAGCCTGTAAAAACTAAAATTTCAGAAAACCACTTTCTACATTACAAAGAGAATTCTCAAAATTTAATGTGCACGGAGGCTCACACCTGTAAACCTAGCTACTTAGGAGGCAGAGTAAGAGGATGGTGGTTTTTGAAGCCAACCCTGGGCAAATAATAAGGTTGGGCTGGTGGAGTGGCTCAAGCAGTAAGACCCTGAGCTCAAAACTCAGTAACACTAAAACAAAACGGTGCAGAGGGGCACACCAGCAATCCTAGAACTCACTAGGCTGAAGCAGGAGTATCTCAAATTGGAGGCCAGCCTAGGCTATATGGCAAGACCTTGTTTCAAAAAAACAAACTACTAGACTTTCTAGATCTTTCACATTAATCTTCTGTAACAAATTTTTGTGGTCATGTCTTGAAACTCTGTTCCTAATACATTCACCACTTATTTTTCTATTATACTGAGAAAGAACAAAAAGGTTAAAAACATCTACCTTAGTGTGCATGTTGTTAAATTCAAACACTGCAAAAACCCTTCACATATCTCACCTTCCACTGGGAAGTGACTAATATAGACATAGGATAACATCTGGGTAAAAATCTTTATTCAACTATCTAACACACTCAGCAGGTTCATCTCTGAACTCTATTACTCTAATAACTATATTGGTTAAAATTATATATAGAAATATATTTTGCTTAGTGTCTTCACATTCCAAGTGTCAAATGGGAAAAGCAACCAAGTCTAACAATTTGAAGTACCATCAGGTAATGCAAGTTTAGTATGTAGGCATAACAAGGCATGTCCTCTTACTGTTTTAAAACTACTAGTTTTGAATAGTCTGTTAGAAGGGAATGCTAGGAACTGACTTGAGAAGCAATTTGCCATCATGCATAGAACTACATGGAAAACTTTATAGTACAAGATCCACCTCATAGTTCTTATCAGTAGAACTGGGGCAGGACCTGCTAATTTGTATCTCCAGGATTTCCCAAATGATACTGCTATTGGTTCTTAATCACTTTGAAATCATACTTCATCAAAGACCAGTTTATAACTGCAGTTTAATGTTCAAAATTGAGCTTACACACAGTATATTAAGTGTGGACTTCATGTTAACTGGAATTACTGAGTAAGACCAAGTGTGTTTAAACACAAGACTTTAATGGTAACAATTCCTTTAAGCTCAATTAAGTTTAGCTATTACAAGTCTTATGCAAATGTCACTATTAGACAACATTTAGTGACTTGCATTGGGTTCCTCATAAAATAGAAGACAATTTCACTTAAAAGTGTAAACAATCATATTTAACAGCTTTGTTATGTCAACACAAAACATGGCTAATCTGAGGCACCGCCCCCCTCAAAAAGTCACTAACAGCAATGATAAGAATACTTCACCTAAGCCATTAAAATTTTATTTTTAAAGTGAGTGTTTCACTACCCCTGAGACCACTAGTTAACTGTGGTTCATACTTTTAAACGTGAGTACACCCACAAGAAAGCAAACTAATCAGTTAAAAAAAATCTGATTATCACACTGCCAAGTCTGGGGGGGCAGGGCAAGTGAGGAAACAGTCACTGAAAACGTAAATTTACCATTAACAGACCAACTGGACTCCTAAGTGAAATTCAAACTTTAAAGTTCATTAATACAAACTAGTCCAAATCAGTGCTTAATCTAATACCCACTTTAGGCATACACATAGCACTAGTGATTTCAAATTACTGAATGGGTTGGGGAAAGGGAAAATTCACAATTCTTTTGGAAATTTTATTGCAGATGATTCCAAGTCCAGTGTTCATACATTCAAAAATGTTGGTTTTCCAGGTACTTTAAAATTACTGTTCTTCTAAACCTGGAGAAGCCTCTTATGGCTTATTCCCTTAGATGCAACATATGAAAATTATATAAAGCATCAAGTCAAAGGTAAAAGAGAACTGGACATACATACCCACTAACTATTATGACAATCAATGGTTTAAGGGAGTCATCTTTTTAAATACCTAAGTTGTCTAAGGCTAAAAAATTGTCAATCTGAAAGCCAATTAGGGATCCACTGTTTTATAAAAGTGCATTTTATTCATGTTTGGCTTTCAAGAAATATGCCTACTAAAGCTGTTATTTTGAGGGTATGAATCTCAAATAATTACTTTGAAAAGAGCCAAAGAAGAGTATTTCTTACCTTGTGGAGTACTGTTACTAATCTCATTCATAATTTGAATCCAAAAAAAATTTAACAGCATCTACCCTGAAGAACCCATAACTTTTTAAAGAAAAAAGATAAAATGAAAACTGTACACTGAATTGAAATGCTTATTACAGAATTAAGTCAGAACATCTTTAGAAGGCATGCATTTCACTTCCAGTTTAGAGAAAAACCTTAAGTCAATAAATCATGTCCAAACTACATATTAAAATGTTTATAAAAATTAAGCTTTAACATTTCTAGCTTTCCACATCTGTGTGCACACAAGGAATAAGATCGCACATTAAGTGTAAGCAGTGCAAAAATGTGCAAGTGGAGACGTGTGCTAGAAATCGAATACAAGACTAAGAAATAAAGCAATGGGTGAATCAAAACTGGGAAAAAAGTAAAACCACAGGATCAGAATTAGGAAGGATGAAGAATGGTAATGCCCATGTTACTGCAGAAGTTTAGTGGCACAGATAGCACTTATCAAACAACAAAAAATAAAAAATAAAAATAAAAACAATCCAATAGCATTGACTTTTATTCATTCATGTTACGTCACCTGAAATAGTATCTGTTGCATTTAAATGCTCATTAATGTAAATGGCTGAACAAATCCATTTCAATGGATACTCAATATCCCACAGTTAAGTCACTTCAACACAGCCTCATGACAACTCCCACACCAAAACAGTACTTTATTTTGTAAATTGTAACCCATTATTACTCTCATGTTAATTTTCAGTTGTCAAGTGTACAAGGTGAAGAAAAATTTTAGACTGGGATGCACCTGGAAAATAAATTTCTTAACTCCATATACATGTTTTAGAACTGCTGGGTCCCAAAGTCCATTTATGAACTCTAGGGCTGCCAGTATCATGTGCAGCACATTAAAGCTACACTATTTGAATAGCTTATTAATTCTGTATAAATCAGGTCAAGCAATGTGTCAACCTGTTAACAGACTATGCACGTTAACTGAACATGGCAAAATATTCACTCTTTTGAACTTTACATCATCATTTGATGTCAAACAATGAAGCAAATCCCAACAGTATATACAAAAACTGCTTTGCATTTACAAAAGGTTGTTTCCCATACTGATTAATCCAGGCAGCTAACTCATTGGTTTATGCAACTTTATTGAAGAAAAATAAATCAATTACTAGCAGAGCTATTAGTTGATCACTCATCCGTTGACAACTTGCATCATTTATTCAGTGCTATATTAAACAGTGTATTGGAAGATAGATTAACTAATAGCTCCAAGCCTCCTAACAATTTAAATGAAAATTACAAAATGTTTTGAGACCCTATTTTGGAATACAAAGGGTGTTTTGACTTCCAATTTCCATTCTCTGTAGAACAAGAACAGGTCATTCCTTTATTGACATGCATAAAATACATCACATTTTCTGTTCTGCTGATGCTATAAATTCAATACCAATTCTCCAGCCACATCAGTTATGAGCATAAAGTATTTCATATTACCTCAACACTCTAACAGTGGAAGGCCTAAACAAGAAGGGATGCTGCTAAAATAACGCTGCTTCCTTTGATGTGACAACTGAGCATCCATCTCCCTCCCCCTCAGATGATTTCTTCAGCGTGTTAGAGCAGTGAGGAATGGTTTAGTCTCATAACCAAGTTAATAGTGAAGACATTGGCCACATAATACACATGCTCCATTTTTTAAAAAATTTCTGAATCTTGGGCAACTGTTCTCTTGTAACTACTTTACAGTTTCTAAAAGCAGTTATTGTCCAAAGCTGGAAGAACTTAATTCTTCTCAGATGAGCATGTGAATGAATGGAGGGAGGTAAACAAAAAATAAAATTAAAAAAGATGAGGTCTGATAGGGGAGCAGCCGGATAAGAAAATCAAAAAAAGGAACAGTAATTTAAAGTTTATTCCAGCTATAATGCAGGTTATTCTGACTTTAAGGTAGCATCACATGGCATACTTCTGAGTCCATTCCCGAGATATTCTGTTGTACCTGTAAATAAGTCATTTAAAAAATAAAGTTAAAACAATTATTAATATTTTAAAGGTAAGGAAAAGATTTCTGTTTTATTTCCAGAGTCATCTTGAAGCCACCTGGCTTTGAGTAGAATAAAAGCCAGTAAGGGAGAAATAGCAGAGGAACTCAAAGCAATGTAGACCCTTGTGCTTTGAAACCAGTATTATTTTAATATAACAAGGTAGTACTCAGATTGGGAGGCTAAACATCAAAGATCTTTTTGCTCCACCATCACTGAGGTATTTGTATTAGAAACCCTGAAAGTGGTCATCCATTCTGAGAAACTTTACACTAAAAAATCTCACAATTCACCATGGATGTTTTCAGAACAGTATACATATTCCATACATCAACAGAAATTGCCATCAATGCTGGAACAAACATACAGTTACAAAAAAGTTGAATCTGAATCCTAGACTTTGAGAAGTTATTTGGCTCTAAATATTACCAGAAAAGAAAATGCCTTTGAGACTTAGGCAGCTGAGTAAGACATTGATTGGGAAGTGTGATAACAGTAATCTTCCAAAGGGGGTAGCTGTGATTGGTTAATCAGAACTCAGAACCATGTTACTATTAAAGAGCATGGCTGATCGGTGCTAATAAGCCCCACTGAGATTTGCTGAATGTGAATCCCTAGGAGTGCAAACAGGATATACCTTTGTTAAAAGATCAATAGGTAGCTTGCCCTTGAGCCAGGTTATTACTAAGGAAGATCACTAACTAGTATTGACAAATATTATCAATTTCTTCCTATAGTACACTCAAGCCAACGAAACCACAGATAACAAAGAAATGAATATACGCTGAAGGGCATAGGAGAACTTCTGGACTTATATAAACTGTAAGAAATATCACTAGCTTCATTTGGTAACTAAATATGAATCAACTATTTTTCTTATCTTTTAACATACAAAAAGTTGTATTTATCCAATTCAGAGTTAAAGGTTACCCTCTTCAAAGAGCCAGCACTTTATTTAGCATACAGGGAGCCACAAAATATAGCTAACAGTGATGCATGCTTGTCAGTAATGAACATTTAGTTTAGATGCTTTAAAGTGTTTTTCCCTTACAATACTACCTCCTGGCAGAATCTAAACAAAACCATCACATTCCGTATAGTATTGGCACAAAATTTCAAGCTGAAGTTTAAACACATGGTAGTTTGATAAAGAATAAAAGTACTCTTAAATTTCTACTTCTTACTAGTGCTATATAACTGTTTTGCCATGCAAGAATACTTTTCGAGCAGTAATGACTACTGGGTATACTTTCACACTAAACAGATCAAGCAGTTAAATGTACAGTTTTCAGAAAACTGCCATGTATGTTGTTACCTCTTGTTAGTTAATACAGTGCCTTAAAGCATGCAGCACTCAAGTGCTGGCAGTAAGCGCACCATGGAGTGCAGATCCTCTTACCCTACAACATAGCGTATTTCTCTGTCCACTCTCTTGCTAACCTATTGTACCTAATTGAACAAGTACACTTAATATTAATGATAACATACAAAAGTTATAATGGTTAAGTTGAACATAAGGATAATTCCAATATTTGAGAAATTTAAATGCAAATCTTTTGAAGTACTAGGTTTTTCAAAAATATATCTGGGGTGAGAAAGTGCTTCCTTCTTCCCAAAACTGAGACTAATGTGACAGTATTCAAATACATTAGGAACAACAAAAAACATTTCCAAAGGGCTATTCACTGTCATATATGCTAAAACCTAGTAATTATTTTCTTTCTGAGACAGGGTCTCCTTATGTAGCTTAAGCTGGCCTAAAACTTGCAATCCTCCAGCCTCAAGCCTCTTGAGTGCTGGGATTACAGGTATGACCACCATACCAAACCCCCTAGGAATTTTAAAACAAAAACCCAAAAAACATTTTAATAACTAGCTTACCAGAAATGAGCATCACATGAAGTCTTCCTGGCATTGCTATAACTTACAGTAGAACAGAAACCCAACTCATTAAGTAAAACCACTTAAGAGAGTTTATTTCCTTCAAGTATTACATACTTACTTATCTCTGTCTGTTTTATAGATCCGTGCAATCTCTGGCACTAGGGGGTCATCTGGGTTTGGATCACATAGCAGTGAACAAATGGATAAAAGAACTGCAAGAAAACAAATGGCTGTTACCTAACATCAGGAGTTTGGATGAACAGGTGTCACGAGAACTTAAAAATGTATTATAAACCTCATTCTTCAAAGAGTTTACTATTTTTTATTTTAATCCCAATAAGAACGTTAGAGACACTGCTTCACAGAAGACAAGCTCCAAGTAAATAAGGAGTGCTAAAAATAAGAACTTGGTTGGCATTAACAACAGTACTGACTAGCTTTACAAATATTGCCAAAATCAAAAGTTTCTAAGATAGTAGTCAAATGATGCCATATTAGTTTCTTTTAAAGAAATACCATGGTTAATAGAAATTAAGGAGTTTCCTGGCAATTTGCAAGGGGGAAAAAAACTGAGAGTATGTAAGTAACATCCATGCCATGTTACTTGAAGCTGTAAGGCTTGGCGAAAATGAACTGTTCTGCTAAATGTATTTTCTTCTCTAATCTGCAAGGTGGAATCCTGGTTTCACAAAAACAATGACAAGATCTGTCTAAGGTAAGTGGGCATCCACAGCTGTAGTTCTTACATTCTGGCCTATTCAACGTATCAACTTAGAAGATGCCAAGCACCTTAGAACAGATGTCTCCATTCATTTGAGTATCAGGTAATATTCCAGTCACCATGCAGGTACTGGCATTAAGACTGTAAAATATAAATGCTCTAAGTGGTTGTGACAAGCGTTGAATGAAGAAAAAAATAAAACCACCAAAAGCATAAAACACAACCTGGGCTGGTAGAGTGGCTCAACTGGTAAAAGCGCCTGCCTAGCCAGCATGAGGCCCTGAGCTCAAACCCCAGTACAGCAAAAAAACCAAACCCAACAACAAAAACCAGAACACAAATGTACTGTGTGAGGTATGGAAATGGACACATAAAATTAATAAAAGGAGACCAGGCTGGGGGCATGGTTCAGGACCCTGAGTTCAAAACAGAGTAACACACATGTATACAACTTACCTACACAAAGGAAAAAAGAAAAGCTTTTATGGCTGCTAGCTTTAAAAGTAAGCAAAATATAACCGCCAAAAAAAGCAAGTTACTTTACAAACAAAACAACACACCACCAATTCAACCTGTATTTATGGTAACAGGCTGTATAATAGTACATCCCAACAATAAGCAGCAGCTTGGAATCTGGCATGTATGTTATGACAGCATGAGTTAAAAAGAAATTAGAATTAAAAAACTGGTCTAAAACACTTGCTAGGTACAGTGGTTTAAACCAAAAATGTAATTGTAGCTAATCAGAGGCTGAAACTGGGAAAACATGCTTTCAGGCAAGCCCGGGCAAAAAACGTTCCCAAGATCCCATCTGAACAGAAAAGGATAGGCATGGGGCATATGTCTTCTATTCCAGCTATGGCAGGAAGCATAAACAGAAGGATCACAGGTCCAGGCCAGCCCAGGGAAAAAAACAAGACCCTATCTCAAAAAAAAAAAAAAAAAAAAGAGGAAAAAACGGGCCAGAGGCATAGCTCAAGCAGTGGACTACCTGCCTAGCAACTGTGAAGCAAGACAGAATTACTAAAAAATAAATAAAATGTAAGACATTTCAAAGAACTGTGGCAGCATCTACTCATTTTTAGTCTCCCTAAAGTGATTCTAGTTAAATAAAAATTGAAATACACATTGCCCCTAGAGGTTCAAATGCATATATATGACCATATGAAAATCTTTATATGATGCCCTGTCACTAAACACAAAGAAGGCAGTTTTAATTGTATTTATCAAACTCATGAATCATTCCAAAATGTTGTGCTTAAGTACTGGCCTAGATATAAGAATGTACAATACTTAGAAAGGTGCTATCCTCAAATACCACTGTCATAATTAGTAAAATTAAGAACTTAATTCTGAGTACCCAAGGAACCTTAAACCAGTATCAAAACCAGAAAATTACTGAACAGACTTTTTTCTCATAAAGTAGTTTTCTGTGTAGGTGATTTTATCTGTAGAATGCAAGTGACATAGTTAACAATCAAAAAGAAAAAAACTGAAGGAGGAATTATCTCTATCTTGGATATTCCTATAGAGATAATACAAACTATTAAGAGAAGTTACTTAATGGATTTATATTTAAAGTAGACTGGGGGTGGAGGGGGAGGTGATACAATGTATACACATGTAAGTAAATGCAAAAATAATAAAAAGGAGAAAAAAAAGTAGATAAAAATTTGTGTTATCAGGTGAAGGAAACTCCAATAATCCCATATTTTAACTTCTCCCACAAAATCTCCTTTCAGTGAAATTTACTGCTGAAGAAGCCAAGAATAACAACTTCTTATTCCTTCCCCATTCTTACTTGGGAAGAATGGGTGGCATAATTAAAATACTCAGTTACATAGATTCAAGGTTAAAACTCAAGATAAAAATCAGAACAGCTCAAGACTATTCCACTAAAAGTATTTTACCTTTAGAAATAGTTAAAGCAGGAGACCACTGTGATCTTAGAATATCGAGACAAATGCTGCCATTACTGTTAATATTTGGATGATAAATTCTTGTTGTAAATGCAACCTAAAATAAACAATGTAAATTTAAGTAGAAGTCTTAAAAGAAATGCTTAAACTATTAAGTCACAACTTAAATTCTCATTATTGATAATATGGTAGACAGTTCCAAAGATTAACTTTGGCGCTATAAGTAAAAAAGCACACTCGTTAACATTCATTAAAATACAAACTTATATAACTAAAGTTTATAGACCAGTCCATTTAAAAGTTTAATAAGTTATACAGGTAATATTCAAATATAAAATTGAATACCACAGAAGTATTTTATCTTAAGGAATTGTCACATTGTACCTTTAACATGACTATTTACGGTTATAGTGAGGTTACCACTATTGCTTGTTATCTTCTCCTTATTCATACAGAGAAAGTGAAGAGCCATATCCTTTTTTTGAGACAGAGTCTCACTATGCAGGCCAGGGTGATGTTGCTATATTGCCCAAGCTAGCCTCAATCTCAGTCTTCCTGCCCGAGCTATGAGTGCTGGGATTACAGACAGTGTCACCGTGCCTGGGACCATACACTTCTATTACTTATAAAACAGTCAAGTCACCTCAGTACACTAAACAACTCTAAGTTTTGATAAATTTATAATTATGTATGCAACCAAAATAATTTACCAAGTTAGTACAGTAAGTTGCAGCACCATGGGCAATATATTCTCAAATTGAACATCTGACGTCTCCTATTTCAAGAAAATAGGATCAATAATCCCAATCTGCGTAACAGTAACAAAGGGGGAGTAGAGTTTCTACACATGGTGTATATGAGTCTTGCAACTTTAAAACAAGGTAAATCTTTTCCTCATTTACAAAGGTCAAATCCATGTCTAGCTTTTTTTTTTTTACACTGGTACTGGGGTGTGAACTCAGGGCTTTGTACTTGTTAGGAAGGCAGTGGCTCTACGGCTTGACCCATTCTTCCAGCAAACACTCCCATCTCAGGTCTTGTTCTTTTAGTAAAGGATGAAAAGAATCAGTATTAGCCTGGTGTGGTGGTGCAAACCCAGCACATGGAAGGCCAAGGAAAGAAGATGGAGCATTTCAGGCCAGCCTGGGTTACACAACGAGATGCTATCTCCAAAAGTGGGTGTAGGGGGAAGGGTCAGTATCTATGTACCAGTTACTCAATTCTATGCTTCTGTTATTCAGTATACATAAAAACTTTGCAACAAATACATAGAACCCTAATTTCTTAAGAATGCTCTATTCCTCTGAAACAAACACATAAATCTAGAAACAGATTTTGAGGGAAAGTACTTACCTTAGGTGGTTTGAAGGGGTAGTCTGTAGGAAAATGAATTGTCAAAAAGAATACACCGCCTTGATATGGGCTGTCATTCTGTGAAGACACAAATATGCTTCACCTTAGTATTATCTTAACATTTTCTAAGCATTTCTCTATCAAGAAACCAAAACCACCTACTATTTACATTGCAATGAAGAATCTAAACTATGCCAGGAAAATTCAGTTCATTCTAATGGAAAAACACATAATTTGCTGAAGTAATGAATCCTATCATTTGGATCTAATTATATAAGCTACCAGATGTTTTGGGGGGGGGGGACCAAAAACACCCAGAACCATTTAAGTGCTCTAGATCCAAACTCTCATAAATGAAAAAATACACATTAGTAAAGTTTACATATAGTACAGTGAATCAAACTATAATTCAAAAGCAAACTATTGTATGTGGAGTATTTCTTCTAATAAAGTTACATGTACACAAATGGCTCTGTAACTCAAAGGCTGTTCTATTAACTAGCACCCCAAAAAGTTAGCTATTCAGGTAACACACAACTATGTTCAAGAGGTGGGCAAAACAAAGAAAGTTGGTCTTTTATTTGACAATGTTATTCCAAGCTAAGAAGAGAAACCATTTGTGGTTAAGTTTTTCATGTGAATTTAACAAATACCAGGAAACATATTGCTTCTATTTTATAAATGGGACTAAAAGACATAGCCTAGTATAGTGTACCAATATATAAGTGACAGAACCAAAATTCATATAAAAGTCTGACGACAACTTAAAAGATAAAACTAAGAAGTGATGACAAGAGCTGGACATGGTTCAAGTGGTAGGGTGCCTGCTTAACAAGCATGAGACCCTGAGTTCAAACCCCAGTACTTGCAAAAACAAAACACAAAAAAGTGATGACAAAAGATAAGTGACTTAGTCAAGTACTTTAACTTAAAAATATGAAAATGCCTAACAGCTAACTTGAAGACACTTTAAAGTGCAATAATTAGGTAATTACCAATATCCATTTCACTCTGGATAATACATATGTATATTGTTATGAAATTACGAACCTATCCACTTTACCTTTCCTGTTACGAAATTACAAGCCTTTCCGTAGCAACTTACAGGTCTGACACTTTAACACAGCTCATTAATTCCTACCTCTCTGTAACATTCTTTCAGTTAATGTAAATCTCTACTACATGCTAGTGAAAGGGACCCTGGGAACAATTTTTTTTTTCCTTTAAATCCAGATGGGCTTAAATCTGGTACAAAGACCCATCAAGTGAGTACAATGTGTTACAGACATAAGGAGAAAAGTCTATTAATGAAGAGTCAGATTAACTATTTAACTATTTAAACTCAGTGCTACTGAGTTTTATCAGTAACAAAAAAATTGTGAGTGCAAAACAGCACCTGAGAAATACAGGAAAAAAGATAAGGCACTCAGAATGTGGACCAAGTTCCTAACGTAAGTAATGGGAATAGATGTATAAGGGTAATTCCAAACATTAAAGCTTTTAAAACCCAATTCCAGATGTTTGTCATTCCTAGCTTCCCACAAATTATGTCTTACTGCTTCTGAATAAGGACATACACAAATGAAACTGAGGTAAAGCCAAATTTCGTTTCACTTAAGAAAAAAAAACCAGAAAAACCCAAAACGTAAGGGGTTAAGTATTTCAATGTTCTATTAATGTGACACTAAAATTCCACCATATCATACCTCTTCATGTACTAGCTACCATTACCCACTATATTGATAATACTTCTCTCTTCTACAGAGTGTTACAAACCAGCTCCTTAGAGTAAGGTAAAGAGGGAAAAAAGTTTTCATGAATCGTAACTACCGTAGAAAGTGACATAACACACTTAAAGTAGGATTTAAACAGCAACCTTAATCAGTAAAATAATACCTATGGACCAGTTATTTTACTTCACGTTTTTGCAGTTAATTACAGTTAAAACTGTTTTTCACATCTACAGCGCTCTCTTCAACAGCAATGTCATAGATTAGGTGGTTCTCCAAATAACTTCAAACTGATCTTTCTGACAACTAACATTTCCAATTAAAGAAAAATTAAGCATGTAAATATCAGAAGCAGTAAAAAAATTAGTTTCTTCTGATTATGAGTTCTCCCAATAAATGTGCAACTTGTGGATTCTGATGGTACTACTGCTCCTGATGTTCTGGCTCAGGATGGCATGCTTTCATGAAGACACATCCAGACACCAAAACAACCTGAGTTGTTTCGTTAATGCACTCCAGAGTAAGCATGCAGTTCACTATTTAAAACTGGCACCTAAATTTATGTGTCTATAAAGAATATAATAAAATTGATACTTTCTGTATTTTTATAACTATCTCCTTCCTGAAATTATCAACACTGAGGTAACTTTTGCTGAAAAACAATTAGTAACACAGTCTGAAATATATTATGTAATAAATGAAAAATAAATGTCTTCCAGAAAATTAAAGCAGACTAAGTAAAGCACTAAAAAATATTACCAGGATGAACAACCTTCTAGACAGTGTATCGTATTAGCATATACTCTTCATACTTCACCTTGATTTACTGTAGATTTAAGCATTAGCTTTAGAAAGTATTGTTCAAAACAGTGCAATCTCAAAAGTGATAAAAAAAAAACCAAAAACACACTAAGTCTTGGAAGAGTTGATTTGCTCTATGCACCATTCAATTAGAAGTCTTGATTGGATTCAAGTGCTCTGTTAGTATTTACCAAGTAAATTTTTATGAGACTACCCTAGCATACCCTCTGAATCAAAATGAGTTGTATTTGGTACAAAACATGTTAAGGCATCTTACTGAATTCTCTGCTCTGAATATTGACAATCTATAATGGTAAAATCCGAAGAAGTTGCAAAAGCAACCTGCCTGTAGTAAAATCTAGATTAAAAAAACATGAAGTGGACATGGTATGAACTAAAGCAAATATGTAACCCATCCAAAAGGGGAGTGGCTACTAATCCATCCCAAGCCGCTGTTGCTTGTGAAATAAGGGCCTAATAAACTGGGTCAAACTGAGTAAGTTAATGTTTAACTGTGTGATAAGAATATACAACTATTACTAAGTAAGACAAGAAGCAGCACTTTAAAGGCAAAATTTTTAAACTGCACAATGCCGCTGAGATGACAAAAATGCACAATCCTAGCTTTGTAGTTACAATAATCCAGTATTATTTCAATTATCAAACTTAGTATCTACCTGCTGCTCTGATGGGTCTTAAACTGTTTCAGTCACTTTTAATTGAAACATTCAGTCATTCTAACTCGATCTGTCATGAATTACTGTAAATTTCTCCTACTCAGCATTTCAATTAACATATTACATCTTCCTCATCTTAATGTCTATCTTCCCAGATTTTAATTTCACTAAAGATTGGCAGCAATCTTATCCACTCTGTTCACTCATTTCCTTATTGCTGAGCATACTTCAGGTGCTCAGATTTGTAGATAGAAAATGACTAATGTTATTAAAAATCAGAACCTGCTCAATAAATACTTGGAAGGCATTTTCTCCTTTAGAATTTTAAGTAGCTGCCTACTTAACAATCATTTTCTCAGTACATTATTGCCACCAAATAAAACTGCCAAAAAGGGAGAAAAGTTTTCTGTAAGATATACATGTAACTTAGAATAAAAATGTGAAAGTATCCTTTATATTAAAACAAAAACAAAAAGTTATTTGTGCAAGATAACAATCTTACCCCAGGATGTTTTAGTGCACTCTAATTCTTTGAAATTCTTAGAATATATGCATAATTCTGAATACTCAATTATCCAGCACATAGTTGCTTATCTACCCAGGATATAAAAGAATTTTGGTATATTCAAAATAATCGCTTTCTGCCTACATTAAAATTTTTATGAAACTAAAGATCTGTAAAGAATATCAAAATATTATTAAACTAAATTTTCAGCAGCTACAGGAATAGGTAAGATCTTTAATAGATTCTGTACTCCAGAACCTGAACACAGGGACAGACACAATAAAGTACATGCAACAAGTGACTTAGTTCATTGTTTCTTTTAAAAGCAGTACAAATATGGCATATCCAAAGCAGAGTAACCACATAATAAAACAAAGCTATGGACTTAAAAACTAAAATCAGATCAATGCTAGATTTTCAATTAAAAATAAAAATTTAAAATTCTTAATACTTACAGGTCCCATAATTGTAGCTTGCCAGTGAAACACTAGAAGAGGAGAAAAAAAAAAGTCCTCTTATCGTCATCTCAAAATGCATGTTTTCTGAAGTTAACCATTAAAAAAACCAACCATCAACCAACCAACTTAGAAGTTACTTACTATCATCCCCAACTGGACCTGCAGAACATTGTGCTGGAGGGTCACGGGCCAAATCACTAAGTTCCTACACCAAGACAAAAAAATAGATCATGTGGTCTTAATATAAGGAAACACAACCAAGAAAACAAAGTCATTATTACCAGTTACTTGTATTCCATTCTCTAAGGTACATGCAATCATAATTCACAAGTAATACATTCCATTATGAGACAGAAACCCGAAGTCCAGTTCCAATATAAGCCCATATTTTTGTAAACATACACATGTTGAAACAGTAATCTTGGTTAGAGTTCATAAAGGTATATATTGATACTAAGACTTACTACATGAACAAAACCTGATTTCTTAACAAACTGAAATGGTAGTAATCAGATCTCTTTTAAGAACTTAGGAAAGGCAGAGCTCCACATTTCACTTCCTCACCTTCTACACTATCTTAGAGGCCCTCTATCTGTCTTAAATCCTTTGTTGTTTCCAAACCGTATTTCTACATAAAAATTCACTGACCTCATTTTGCATGTGAAAAACCTCCCCTGGGGCTAAGTACACTTTTATATTTAATCTTACCTCAACCCAACCTTTTCTTTTTCCTTTTGGGTGGCACTGGAGTTTGAACTCAGGGCCTCAAGCTTGCTAGGTAGGTGGCAAACTGCTTGAGCCACTCTGTCAGCCCCTCAATCTTTTCTTTAACTCAGTTTTTAACAATTCTTAAAATTCTAACCTACTCCTCTAGGGAGAATGTTCACTCTTTGCAAAACATGCTTTTTTTTTGGTGGGATTGGGGTTTGAACTCAGGGCTTCATGCTTATAAAGCAGGTGATTTACGGCTTGAGCCAAGCACCCAGTCCCATTTTGCTCTGCTCTCCCAAACTATTTGCCTATGCTGGCCTTGAACCTTTATCCTCCCGTTCTTAAGTCCCTGAAGCAGCTATGATTACAAGCGTGACACTTGACCAAAACATGCAATTTATCTCCAATGAACACCTGTGTGTACTTAACTCTTCTGTGATTTGTGCATGACAAACAGATGATAAACCTAGTATGAAGTCAGTTTAGGTTTTCTCAACAATTAAAGATGATATAACTCTGTATTAACAATGATGGACCCAATGATTTAGCATCAAAAATTAAAACTAAGATAAACAAAATCAGTGTCAATCCACTGCTTTCTTCAACATTTTTAATTTGACAGTTTATCTGAAACTCAGTCTTATCACATGTCAGTAAAAGCCACCCCCTCCACCCAAGTCCAGGTATAGCTCTCAGTCTTTTTGTCTAAACATGAATTAATCATCAAGGATAATGACTATGAACAACTAAACATACTAGTAGAGCTGAAGAACATCATACATAAAACACCAAGTACAGAAAAAGCAGAAAAATGAAATATTTTTTTAGGGGGGGAGGTAGGACAGAAAAGCACTGGGGATACACCACCAGTCCAAAGGAATTTTGTTGCTGGTGGAGTACCTCAAGTGGTAGAGCACCTGCCTGGCTAGCTTTATGCCCTGAGTTCAATCCCTAGTATTGTCTAAACAAAAACACAAACAAAAAATAGCAATTTTTTTGTTAACGGGTCCCTCTTTGTTGCACAGGTTGGCCTCCAACTTTCAATCCTCCTGCCTCAGTCTCCTAAATTAGCTCAGGCAGAGTTCATGCCTCACTCTATGTCTAACTTAAAAAGAATACAATCAACATTTGGGCTAAAGACATGGCTCAAAAGTTGGTAAGATTGACTGCGTAGCAAGTGCAAGGCCGAGTTCAAACCCCCAAACTGCCAAAAGGTGGCACCTCCAACGGTATCAATATTATAGCTAAAACATTAATGCTTCCTTCAGTGGAATCTACTAGGACAACTTAATCACATTATGGACAGAACTTCAACAACAACTACATGGAAATGAACTTCCAAACTGGTTGTGTTCATTTTCTTTCCTCAACTCTTATTTCTGCTTTTCGTTGTAAAGTTTAATATAAAATGTACACTACTGAGATTAAGACACTTCCAGAAGAGTACAGAATAGAAGAGGGATTCTCAATTTAAATCCCAGAATAACTTTTTATCATGTTAATATACATATACCCTCTTTACTCTTATTGTGCTAGAAATTCAGGTACCTTTCAGTACGTGGATACTATTGACTAAATTGTTTTAAATCTATATAATCTGCAGAATAGAACTTTTACACATCCAGCTGTGTATTTATCGAAAAACCATGTATCTGATGTACAAAAACTAAGAGGGTTACTGGTCCTTGAGTGTAGATTTTATCACGTGATGAATGCTTTATCAAAACCAGAGTATTAAAGTTGAAAATATATAGCTTTAAAGTTGATTTTACTGCAAAAAAGGAAAAAAACAAAAAATAACCCCTACATCAAAATTTCAATGTACTTAAAGGTATTCTTAAACGACCAAAGGAGTTTGTTTCCCAAGCACACTCATGGGTTCACCCATTATCCTGGCATGCCATTCAGGTTTACTTTATGCCTCAGATTCTTCATTATGGTATTAAATTACATTAAAATAAGCCAGAATGGGTCCAGTGGACTTTCAGTATGTGTAACTTGAAGATGCTGCCTTCACTTCATCTACTAAGAGGTATGTGCAGCAAAAATTTTTCTCTAACTCATGATCAAATCTGAAAGATTAGCAAACTTCTTTTTCCGTTTTGCAACAAAAGGTAAGTATCTCTTCCTTTTTAAGGACAGCACACCAAACTCACTGATAAAGGTCCTCAAATGTGAGCCTACTTTATCAACCAACTCCTCCAACCTTCCGTGAACAGAAGCATGACACTGCTATATTTTTGCTGGCTACTTGGTGCGTATCAACCAGGTGTGTTATGGTTGTGGCCTCAGAACGAAGCATTGGTAGAGCTAATGAGTAAACAGGAAAAAAAAAAAAAAAAAAAAAAAAGAATATAGAGGCTTAACAGTCCTGCCTTCAGATGTAAAGTTCTTGCCTGGCGTAACATTTCATTTTTTAGTACTACTACAGTTCCATTTTTTAATTAAGATTTTTGATTACAGAAAAAAATTAATGGCTCATATGTCAAATGCATTAGTAAATCAAGCACTTTACAATTTAATACCAGTTTTATATCAGATTCATATGCTTCAAATAGATTATTAACAGACAGGGTCTCGCCATGCACCCCAGGCTGGCTTGAAGTCAAAATCCTCCTGCCTTATTCTCCCCGCAGTGCTGGGATTCCAGGCATGTGCCACCATACTTGGTTTTGATTTTTACTCACAAGGAATTAAAGCTTTTGAAAGATCATTATGTCCAACACAAAATACCAGATTTTATTCTGTATGATAAAGCAAATTTGAACAAAAATAAATTTTTGTTACAAGTCTGTGGTTAACACAATGTTGTAATAATAGTAAGAAACATTCTTGGATTGGCTATGGTACATACCAAAAGATAAGTAGATCTGTGTGGGACTGGAGTTGTGGCTCAAGTGTAGGGCACCTGCTCTGCAAGTGTTGAGGCCAAGTGCAAACTCCAGTTCCACCCTCTGTGGTTGTGAAAACCCTCTTCACACCGAGTAACTCATACGAAAAAAAAGTGGAATTTTCTGGCACTGATTTTGGGGAGAAGTCCTCTAAATCTTGTTTACATTTTGCTCAAAATCTGTTGAAAATCTTTATATAAGACCCAATAGTAGACAAACCAGTAACTGTACTTTAAAATATTTCAATTTATGGGAAAACTTTTTTGGCAAGAGTTCGTATTTTAATTGTTGTGAATTTGTATTCTGTGCCAGTATGGAATAAAAGTGAGATGGCTCACAATGTTAACAAACTTAGTCAACAGTGAATAGACTACTTACAAAAAATATTCCTAAAGAAAAGTAATCTGGGGCTGGGAGATGAGGCGGTATCAGCCCAAGTGCAAGGCCCTGAACAAAACCCCAGTACCACCCTTTCCTAAGAAATTCTGAATTTGAGAAAAAAAGTTACATAAACTAGTCAATTGAGTGAGGGTAGAATTTAAGCTTTGTTAACACATCAAAAAGTGCTATTTACAGTAACATCAAAATAAGACTAAGCTTTCAGCAAAAACAGTTGAAACAGCCAGTATTTTTTTTTTTTTAAATTAGGTGTCTGTGTTGCCTAGGTTGGCCAGGAACTCATGTGCTTAAGTGATCCAGCTCATCCTCCTGAGTGTGCAGACTCATCTAAAACTTAGGCTTTAAGCCCACTAAAAACAGTAAAATAAAAACAAACAAAACTGCCCCCACAAAACTCTTCCATTTGTTGATTGGTAAATGTATTTTTAAGAAATGATAAAACTCAAGTTTTTGTTGAATGACTAAATGCAAAAAGAACAAAGGATGATGCTAGTATTTTTGATCTAAGCAAAGCATGAAATCAGCATTAAGTAAAATGATTAACTTGTAGGTGAAGCTTGTGGACAGATGGAGATACCATCTAAAGTAGAGACAAACCTAGTACACACCTAGGTTCAAGACAGGCTGAGAAAAGTATCAAGTTTTCATCTGTACACAAATAATTACAGCCATCAGAACTGATGAAGATACTCTGTGATAATGAAGCAAGTTTTGAGGTGAATCCTGAACTAATTCATTAAGAAGGGGACTAGTACCCTCAAAGAAAAAGAGAACTTAAAGAAAAAGTAATCAAGTGCATCTACTAATGCTAATAGATAACTAAGTAAAATTTGGCTACAATAAATAATACTATAGAAAGAACATAGCACATACTATGTATCTGCCTCTATCTTGTATGCTGAAAACATAGTTCTGTGAACAGGCAATTGTTCAGGACTGATCTGTCTAAATCAACTCCAAAGAAAACACAGCAGTAAAGCAAGAATAACTGTCCACATATACTGTCAATTTGGTTGTGAAACATCACAAGACCGCTTATAAAGTTGCAAAATACCAAGATATCCCAAGATTTACAATTTTATGGTCCAAGATCAGATGACTCCTTATGCTTTTTATGTAGCTATACCTACACATATTCAACATATTCAAGGGTGAGAGGAAATTCATCCCCAATACTTTACATACTAAACAGAAAAGACAAAGC